CTCCCCGGGCCAGCTTTACCTTCACGAGCTCAAAAGGAAATCTCTCGTGGAAAATGCGATTGATTCTGGCACCCCCGGAGAGTTCGAGCGTGTCCACCTGGTCTCCCGAACCTTCGATTCGCTTCTCAAAGTCCACGCCGAACTGTTGGACCATTCTGTGGAGAAGCAAGGGGATTAAACGGGCGCCAGCCGAGTACAAGGGTCGGACGGATGGACACCCAGACCGCGTCCTACAGCCAGCACCGCCCCACCAGCTCTGCTTCCGCTAGTCAGGGCTGCGTAACCGTTCTCCCCATTCCCCTCTGCTGGAGTTGCAGAAGCAACAAAATCTCCCTTTTGCTGTAGTCTGGAGAGCACGGGGGCAGGTCAAGAACGGACGCGAGTCGTCCTTTCCAACCCCGAGACCAAACCGTGTGCTTTAGGACAGGCAGGTCGTGCACACGGAGCACAGCAAGCTCGAGACGCTAACTCTTGCCTGCAGGCATGCTCAGCAGGCTTTTTTGGGAGAGGATTTCCTCGTCCTTCCCAGCAGCCTGCCAGACAAGCGCCGGAGGACACAGAATGTCTCCTAGGCGCCAGCTCAGCACCGCTGGAGTTGGCAGGGCCATCGCCAGCGCCGCTCGCTCCCGACGATGGGGCTATTCCGGGCTCTTCCTCGGAAGAGGCCACCGGCCGAGACAAACCAGCCTCGCATGAAGAGCGGGGCGAGTTTATTTCTGTGCCGGCGTTGTTTCTGGCTGGGAGAGGCACCGGGAACGCAGCACTGAGCAAGAGAAACCTACTGTAACAAAGCTTTGGTTTTTCGCGTGGGGTCATCGGGGCGGAATTTCTTGTACTCCTCAACCTCCTTCTCCAGGGAGAGCAGCTGACTCTGCAGCTTGCTGCGCAGCGAAGGCAGCGTCTCCCGAATGTGGTTGGTCAGTTGCTGCAAAAGGAGGGAGATACTGAATCCTCCGCACCGCACCGGCCGCAGGAACGTCCCTGTTCCACCAGAGAGGAACGGCAGCGCCGCAGAACACCGGGGAAGGGAACCAAGCCCACCTGGTTAAGGACTTTCTGCAGATGCGGGGTGCCCATCCGGTCGGCCATGTGCCGGTAAGCCGGGTGAGAAAGGAAGAACTTCCGCTCAGCTGCCAGCGCTGCCCTGATGTCCTTCTTACCATCAATGTCCTTCTGGCTTCGGTTAACGACGCCGATGTAGCCTGCAAGACGACATATTGCGGCTCTTGCTACGGACAGACCCAGCCGAAGGCGCCCGAGCGGGGCCGTGCAGCTCCGGATCGCCATCCGCAGCCGCTTCCCCCGAAGCGCAGGGCAGCACAACGGGCCTGGGCTCCCCAGCAGACACCGGAGAGCGCAGGAGCTGCCCTTCGACTCGTTTTGAAACGCCGCTCCCTCCACACGAGGGACGAAAGTCGTGGCGGGGAGGGTACGGGGTGACGCAACGCCCTCGTGGTTCGTTATACCTCTTCGTAAAGGAAGCAGCTTGTTCTCCAGCACATCTCTGGCATCTGTGCCTTCATCCATCAGATCCAGCTTGGTGATCACTCCGATCGTCCGCAAGCCTGAAGCGGGCACGCAGACGAGCAATTGATTAACCTCATTTCACAGAAGGCCTCAAAAGGAGGCAGGCGGGCGCGTAACCAAAACAAACGCGGACTCGCCAGCGAGGAGTGGAACCGCTGGCCCTTCCTCAGCTGTCAGAGGACGGAAAGTCCTCTGCAAGAGGAGGAGGAGGGGCGAGAAGCCCCTCTGGTGCCAGAATTGGGCAACCCGTTGCCGAGACTCTGCCGCAACAGCCCTCGGAGGCTTTATCGCTCCACACCTGGGCCGACCCGGGGCCTGGGGCAGCGGCGCGGGCAGAAACAGGCGGGAGGACGCGTGGGTCTTACCTTGAGGATCAACTTCTTTTGCCATCTTGAGCGCGTCCGAGTTGGCCAGATCCATGTTCGCTGGCGTGACAGCCAGGATCAAGCTGCTCTCCCTGCTGATGAACTGCAGGATCATGTCTTTGATCTGGTACTCGATGTCCTGCGGTTGGTCCCCCACCGGCACTTTGGTGATACCCGGGAGGTCGATCAGAGTCAGGTTCAACACTGAAAGGACAGAGACCACCCCCGTTGGGGGTCAAGGGCCTGGTGTTGGGAGCTGTCGGTCTTGCAGCTGGATCTCTTTGGATCCACTGACAGATCCACCCCTCCGCAAGCCTTACGAGCCCCTCTGAAGGCAGAGTTACTGCTGTATTTGCTCAGGGGGTGGCCCAGGCAGCCCCCGTCGGCCCCCAGGCCGGAATACTATCAGCCAGACACGCGTAGCAGCCAGCGTTTGCTCTTAGGACACAGGCTGGGCTAAACCCCCCAGCCGCTGCGTACGCAAACGCCGGGTTTTCTTCGCTCGCAGTGTTTTAGCGCACGGAGGACCGGGGCAGAGAAACAGCTCGCTCACCGTGCGGCGAGTAGACGCGGAGGTTGATGGGGACGGGAGAGATGCCTTTGTTCGTTCCCGTCACCCTGTCGGTTTCCGCTTCGATCTCCTGCCGCACCTCGTCAAAATCTGTGAACTTTTTGGATTTGCAGTGCAAAAACTCGGCATATTCTGGAAGAAAGGGGGGGAGAGGGGGAAGTAAAATTAAAAAAAAATATGGCCAAGCTGGAGCCCAGGACGCACTCTGAGATTCAGCTAGTTTAGAGACGTTTCTACGCTGCAAAGCAGAACCAGCCACGCGCTTCGGTGCGACACCGAGCAGCCAGGCAGGGTCGGCGCCCCAGCGAGGCACCGAGGACCTGCCCAGGGATTAACCTGGTTGTCTTCAGCCTCCTGACTGGCAGCAGCCCCGAATAAACTTGGCCCGGCCGCCGGGGGCGCTGGCAGCAGCTGCTTTGATGTGGACTCGGGCGTTACGGTTCCCTTTGCCAAAAAAGCAACTGCCCTTGGGTGAGATGCTGGCAGGCGGCCGGCCCTGGCTCCAGCTCGCCAACCTCAACATCAGAATGGCCGTGTTTGTTTTCACCCGGGCCTGTTTGCCTTTCAGTCCCCGCTGATTGCTTTTAAATGTTTTATTGCCTGGACTCCTAACGCCAAGGAAAGCTCCGAGTCTTCAGCTGCCAAGGGGCCCTGGGTGCGCCTGCGAGGCAGGGCGGCAAACCCCCCCACCGGTGCCGGCAGCACCCTCGTGCC